TGCTGGTGGCCTGGGGCGGGGGGGGGTGCCCGGAAGGGGGGGGGGGGGGGGGGTGAAACCTCCCGCCTGCGGCCCCTTTAACAGAAGCATTCGTCGGCCCGAGAGTGGGAGGTGAAGCTTTCAGAACCTCAGGCGATAGAGCTTTCCAAAGCCACACCCCCTCCCTTCGCCGGAGCGTCGCCCCTTTAAGAGCCTCTCGCCGGCGGGGCGGGGCGGGGCGTTTGAAACGCGGGGACAAACAATTGGACACACCGCGTTCTAAAGGTGCCGCCTTCCTAACTGGCGCCCCCGCAATGCACTTGGCTGCCCCTTAGCGGCCACTCCGGGGCCCGCTTTCGCCTGGCCATAGGGGAATCCTGACCACAATCTCCCTATGGGCCTGGCCCCTGCCACCCTCCTACTCATGGCGCCAGGCTGGGGAACCGGTGCCCTCCAGCAGGCCCTGGCAGCCACCCTCTTGGCTCTGTTCATCCGTCCCCCCCAACTGGCTGCCCCCCTGCTGCTGGCCCTACTTCTCCTGGCCCCACCTGCCAGGGGTTGTGTGCAGTGCTCCATGAGAAACAAAAACATCCCAGCCCGGTTCGCCCAGCTCTGTACCCGCTACCGCCAAATTCAGGGCCGCCCGGGCTGCCCCAGCCACCCCTGGGACCCGGAGTCCTTCAAGGCCTTTGCCCTGGGTAGGGGTCCCTGGCTCTGGGAGCTAGGACGCCTAGGTTGTCTCTAAGGCTCTAGCAGGGGATGGATGGGCTGGAAGCTTGGACTCCTTGGCTCTTTACTCAGCTCTGGCAGGGGAGTGGGTCTGGTGGTTAGAGCGGGGGGGGAGGAAGCCAGGACTCCTGGGTTCTCTTGCTGGTTCTGGGAGGAGGGTGATGGGTTGGTGTTTTAGAGCAAGGGAAGCTTGAAGCCAGGATTCCTAGTTTCTTCTAATAACCTTCACAGTGTGAAGTGCTTGGCCATACAGGTGGGGTATGTGACCTGCCCTGATTGCCTCAAACTGGGCCATTATTCTGGTCCCTACTAATGGCAGTTCTGTTTCCTGGTCACATGAGCTGGTTGTCCTGCCTGCAACATTTACCCCAGGGTGCCAGACTGTCCCTGCTGCCACCAGAAGCTGTGTATGACCCGGAGATTAGCTCCAAGAGTCCCCTAGCCTGTACCCCTTCTGCAAATCTTCCCTGTTCTCTTCCAGATGAGCAAGCCATGGACGCGGTGACTGAGAAAACCCACCGAGTCTTACGTATTATTGGTAATTCTCCCCACCCCCGGAGAAGGCAGACTAGTCTGATGGGGATTATCCTGTACCCAGGAGGTCTGGATGGCATCAAACGGGCAGTGTCATGTGTCTCCACAGAGATCAACAGGACTTTTTCAGACCTGCCCAGGTTCTGGACCTGGCTGCATGAAGTGAAGCTACTGGAATACAGCAAAGAGGGTACGGAGCTGCTGGGGGAGGGCTCGCCATGTGATTGCCCAGCATATTTCATGTTCAAACATGTCGGAGATCACACACAGCCAAGCTGGTACCTGTATAGGACTGGCTAACCACCTACCCCGACACACACCCTGTGTGTTGCAATCTACTCCCCCCCATATGCCACCAGTATATAAGCCAGGACTACGCTCTCTTTCACCCTCCTCTTCCCCCCCAAAGACAGTACCTGGGTTTAAGGCCCACAGCCCAGCACCACTGCCCAGAGACCTGTGCCCAGCCTCACATCTCGCCTGTTCTCCCCAACCCCATCGTCCAAAAGCTTATGCCCAGCCCCGCACCTTGTCTGTTCTCTCCCCCATTGCCCAGAGACCTGTGCCCGGCCCCACACCTCTCTCTCTTCCTCCTCCCGCACCCCAAATTTATCTGGGCCTACTACTTTCCCCCATGACAGACAGCTGGTGCCTTTTTGCCCCCGACCTGTCTGGCTTCTGTCCTTGGCCCCACTGCTTCCCCTGCTGGTACCAACCTTAGTACCTGCTCCACCTCTCTCCCACCCAGGCTCCCATGTAGCGGCTGGGGCCCTGGCCCAGGCCGCCAGAGCGGCTTCCTGCCACCTGCCACGTGGCTCCTCCAGCCCCGGCCGCTGGAGCAGCCTCCTGCCACCCACCACATGGCTCATGGCTCTGCGTTGGAGGTGGGCAGGGTGGACATTTTTTCTGCACACCCGCTCAAGTGTGCAGCTTAGAGGGAACCCTGCTTGGGGTATCACTCTTGTTCCCCAACCCCCGGTGACCCTCTTGGGGAGTCATTCCTAAACCCCAGCCCTCAAAGCCCTATTACAGTGTCTGCCCAGCCCCTCTCCCGTTCCCTGTTATTGAGGTGCCCACCATGTGCCCCACAGCTGGTTTCAGGGTGCATCTGCAGCTAAGAACCTTCCCTGTCCCATCAGCTAAACATTCAGAGAGGGGGAAGGTTGGGATATGGCCTGCATGGGGGCTACCCCTGTGCATAGTGCATACTGACCACACTATCTCTCTCTCTGATCCCCACAGTTCTGTGCCCCCCAGCTTGCCGTAAGTACTGACCCTCCGGAGATGGGTGCTGTGAAGGGTGACCCCAAAACTGCAGTATTGGGAGTATGAAAACGATTCTGGGGCCCCTGTATCTTCCCACCAGACGCGGTCCAGTCAGACCTTTCCTAATCCCATTCTGGCCTGTTCAGGCTTGGTACTTGGGTGCGGGCTCAGCAGAGGTCGCTCTCCTTTGGCAGGCAGAGCTAGTCCCAGGGCGGTGCTAGGGAACATTGGGGGCAGGGAATGGGACGGGGGCTCAGCAGGGGGCACTCACCCCTAGCAGGCAGGGCTGGGCCTTGGATGGTACTAGGGGGTGCTGTACCACAGGGGGGCTCAGTAGAGGGTACCCACCCCAGAGGTGGCTGCATTTTAACGGTCACAGGATTCCTGAGGCAGAGGGAGAGCAGGTGTGCGAGGGGGTCACCTCTTGGTCAGTCTCAACCTCTGGCCTCCCCATATACTTCCTCCACTGAACAAATAGTGGCAGGGCTGGGCCTTGGATGGTACTAGGGGGTGCTGTACCACAGGGGGGCTCAGTAGAGGGTACCCACCCCAGAGGTGGCTGCATTTTAACGGTCACAGGATTCCTGAGGCAGAGGGAGAGCAGGTGTGCGAGGGGGTCACCTCTTGGTCAGTCTCAACCTCTGGCCTCCCCATATACTTCCTCCACTGAACAAATAGTCCCCCCCTTTGCAGCATCCCAGCTGATCACTGCCCCCCCAAGCTGAACCTGGCCTCTCTCCCTTTTCAGGGGACTCGGCCTTGGCCATCAGCTGTTCCAGCTGCAAGAAAGGGAAAGTCACCTGCTGGTCCCTGAAGAAATGTTACTCCGGTGGGGTTCCCCCCCCCCGATGGCCTGCCCCCTATGGCCTGAGTCCTTCCCCAGGGGATCGGCCTGGCCTTCCTTCTGCCATTGCCCCCTCCCTCTGCTCCAGTGCTGTCCTCCCTCCCCTCATGGTCCCCTTTGCCATGCCTGGGGTACCTCCTGATCACACTCCTGCCCCTTCCTCACTCCCTGGTTTAGCCCTTTCCTTACCAGACCAACCCCCCTATCTCTCTGCCCCTCCCCAGGGCATGGAGATCTCCAGAACTCGGTGATTCTACTGAGCATCTTGTCGGCCTCCAGCTTGGTCATGGGGTTCATCACCTGTGCCCTGGAGTGAGTGGAGGAGGGCAGGAGGCGGGGTCAAGGATGGAGAAGAGGGCAGTCTCAGTCTTGAGACTGACCAAGACTGAGCTGGAGAGGGGCTGTGAATAAGGGAGGTGGCGGGACCTGACCTGAGGCAAGGGGCGGGGCATGAAATGGGAAAAGAGGGGGTGGATGGGGTATAGTGGGATCTGAGGGGGGCACATGCTGGGGAAAAGGGAAGGCAGATCAGGGAGGGAGGTTGGGGGGTAGAGGGAGAGGAGGAGGGGTTATGGAGGAGGGGGAAGGGAAATGGGGAGGGTGCAATAATGAGGGACCCCATGGAGCTGGCATCTGGACTTTCTCTCACCAGGTTCTGGTTCTGCCCAGTGCCCGAATGACCCTGAGTGTCAGGATCCACAATAAATGGGCTTCCCCACCAGGCCTTGTCTTGGCAGCAGCAGTCTCTAGGGGTGTGCATGAGGGCGTCTGAGGGTGTGGGGTGCAGGGTGGTGGGCATGCAAGGATGTCGGAGCAGACTGGTGCATGTGCGAGGGTGTTGGAGCAGACTGGTGGGCATGCAAGGGTGTATGGGGCAGGGTTGTAGGTATGTGAGGTGTAGGAGCAGAGTGGTGGATGTGCAAGGATGTTGGGGGGCAGGGCAGTAGGCATGCGAGGGAGCAGACTGGTGGGCATGCGAAGGTGTCGGAGCAGATGTGGGTGTGTGAGACTGTGGGGTGCCGGGGGCATGGTGGGCATGCGAGGGCACGGGCACGGTAGTGGCCATGCCAGGCCATGCACATGCATGTTGCGCATGGGCCCCCACACCACGCGTGCACATTGTGTTCAACTCCACCCGTGCCATTGTCCTGGCCATATGTGTGAAAGGGCCGTGGGCCTGTGGCCGGGGCTGGGTGCAAGCAGGATCTCATGGGCTGGGAGTGGGTGCTGCAGGCAGACCTGTGCATGCCGGTCACGTGCGTGTGCAAGCCCAAGTGTGTGAATCTTATTGTCGACATTCTGGCTGGGGCCTCCTCTTGGTCCTGCCTGAGGCATGCTTTTTGGGTAGGGCATTCCTTGTGAAACACGTTCATGGGTTAGAACATACTATGACATGGGTTGGGCTGCTGCCATCCATGTGGTGGACCAGTGCATAACATGCGATGGGCCAGTAGCTCATGTAACAAATAATATGTGATGGCCCCATGTCACCCATGTTCTGCCATATTGCATGACAACTCCCATGTAACGTGGTGAACCAATATTGTGGCATGTTAGAAGGCAGCTTCATGCGACATGTTATAACGTAATCATGCCCTTACCGTCTGTGGGATAACATGTTAGGGACCACACACAACATGTGATAAGCTGGTCTCACCTGCATTTTAGTCTGTAGGAAGGGGACACAGCATGTAAGGTGATAGTATGTGATGGCCCCACATAATCCATGTTGTAACATGTTAGAGACCCTCCCCCATGCCACATGACCACCCAGTATTCTCTGTGTTCTGTGGGGAGGAGTGTGATATACAACATGTTATCACATATGCTGAACCTCTGCTCTAATCTGCTGCATGACGACACATGATGTTCCATGTTATCACATGTCAGGGGCAATACATTATAAGTGGTGGTCCGTCTTGTCACATGTCGGTGATGCTACACACCATGTGATTGTCCAGCATATTCCGTGTTCTAACATGTCGGAGATCACACACATGGGATAGCCCCAAAGGCTCCGTGTGCAAACCTGTCAGAAGAGTGCCTTCTCTTACACACATCTTGCCCATATCCTGGCATGTCAGAAAGGCACATGTTGAGAATGTGTGATACGGCGTGGCAGACTGTGTTAATCCTCCCCCAACCCATGATTTTATGAAACAGCCCTGCCCTCCCGAACCATTACAGGTCTGACTAATGCATGTCCTCTCCCTCATGTGTTCTAACATGTCCCAGGCATGTTGTGAGCCACATGACAGCCAGGAGGTGGCACCTGCCTGGCCAGGTGTCCCATGGGGCTGGCCAGGCCCCGCCCAGGTGTGTGTGGGAAAGGAAGAGGCTGAGTGCTGGGGCACTATTGGTGCTGGCAGTGGGATGGGAGGAGCTGCTGGAGTGGGAGGGAGAAAAACTACAGGAAGGAGCTTTGGGAGACAGGCAGCAGAGAGAGATTGAGTGAGGGGACTTCCCCTTCCCCTTCCCCTGCCAGGTGAGCCAAAGACCCCCCCCCCACCTTTCCTACTGCTTCTCCTTCCTATTGTCCTCCCCACCTTTTCTTTTCTTTTCTTTTCTTTTCTTTTCTTTTCTTTTCTTTTCTTTTCTTTTCTTTTCTTTTCTTTTCTACAGTTCCTTCTTTCCCCACCTGCCTGTATCCTTCCTCTTCTCCCCTCTGTCCCTGCTGGCAAGGAACATGTCGCCCAGCCTAGCCCGACTGAATGTATTTACCCTTGGGGTCCCAGATGTGACACCTCATAGAGGGGGCAGGCCTTGTGCCCCATTCCCCATGCCGCACCAGGCAGTCCATGCCCTGGGGCTGAGTTGGAGCTGATACCTCCTAGAGGACACAGGCCCTGTGCCACACTCCTTGTTCCTCCTGAGCCAGCCAGTCCCTGCCCTGGGGTTGGGTCGGAACCAGTGTCCCCTACAGGGCCTGTTTCTGAGGGGAAGGAGCCTCAGTGAGGTGGGTCCCTGTATCTCACACCCACCTGTGTCAATATTTGTCCTTCGCCCTGAACTCTGCCCTGTATTCTCATTTAACTAGGGAAGGAGAGGAAAGGAATCAACCCATGAAGCCAGGAAAGGGTTAACAGCCTCCAAACAAGGGGGCACCCCCCGACTCATCTTCCCCCTGGAACTTGCTGCCAAAACTCCCCGACTTTCATCCGAAAAATTCACCTGCTTCTCCCCAGCCCTTTGCCTTTCAGATGGGTTCTGGGGGCAGGTCTGGGCCTGCTTTCAGTTCAAGTTTTTGAAGCCTTGGGTGATTATCTCAGTGGGCTTGTGCCACCCCTGGGTAGCAGGGGCAGTGAGCTGGAAGCTGGTTTACACATGTTTTGGGCTGCTTCCCTTCCAAAGCTGGGGCTAGAACCCAGGCGCCCTGGCTCCCAGCCCCCCTGCTCTAACCCACCAGCCCCCATTCCCCTTCCGGAGCTGAGGAGAGAACCCAGGAGTCCTAGCTCCCAGCCCTGCCTATTCTACTCCACTAGACGCCCCCAGGCTGAGAGGTGCGGTCTGGGTGTGGCTTGTGTGTGTTCTCCCGGGGCTCAGGCAGAGCAGTTGGGCAGGTTAGCACAGTGGCAGGGATTCCCAAAGCCCATTGGTGGGTGTGGGAAGGGAAGACCAATGAGGCCGCTTGTAGAGCAGGAGGAAAATAACGCAGGGAATCCTGGCTCCTGCGGGCTGACACAGCAGAACCTGCAGAGACGCCCTGACCTGCAGGGCGGGGGTGAGGCTAGGAGCGGCTCTGGGCCTCGGTTTCCCCACCTTTGTATTGAGGTTCATAATCCTTCTTCTGTTTAGATTGTAACAGGGCAGGCATGTGTGTCCCTTGATTCTGTGGTGTGTGGGGCCCCGATCTCATTCAAAGGGCCTGGGCAGTGCCCAGCACCCCAATCTCACAGCTGTGTCTTGTGGGGAAGCCCAGGGTGCCATCTCACCCGGCTGTGCTCAGGGCGGGTGCCAAATGGCCCCAGACGACGGCAGCGACTGGCTCCTGGCGCTTCTCACTGAAATCCAGCTGGAGCAATTTTACCACAAGATCCGGGATGAGCTACATGTCACCCGCCTAGCCCACTTTGACTATGTCAGACCCTCCGACCTGGACCAGATCGGCTTGGGACGACCCGGTAGGTGTAGGGGGGAGTCCAGGGCTGGGCTGGCAGGGACTGGGTTGGAAGTGAGGGGCACCAGCTGGGGGGCAGGCCCAGGGCTGGGCTGGCAGGGGCTGCGGGTTGGGAGTGAGGGGCACCAGTAGGGGTCCCTGTTTCTACCCACCAACCCCCACATTTAGGGCAGCGGCGGCTGGAAGATGCCATCAAGCGCAGGAAGCAGCAGGGATTACGCCCCAAATCTTGGATTTACAAGGTTTGGATTCACAAACATTCCCCCATCCACCCCAACTGTTCCTCTCATCCCCCATTGTCACAGGAGCCCTGATGTCCAGGTGTGGGAAATCTGAGCCCCCATCTGACAGCCAGGTATTTTTAGAGATTACTGGATTTCATGCCTCGCTGTGCAGAGGGCTGGGAGCCAGGAAGCCTGGATTTCCACACACTCCCAGCTCTGGAATGGGAGTGGGGACTGATGGGTTGGGGCAGGGTGCAGAGGCTGGCAGCCAGGACTCCTGGGTTTGCTGGCGGTTAGGCCCTGTGCACATCTCTCTCTCTCTCTCAGATGATCAGTGGTGCAAAGATCCAGGAGTCTGGGGAGGGGCCGTCTCACCCTCCTCCTCCCCGCCTGGACTCAGACGGCTCCCTGAAGTGTCTGATCACGGAGTGGGACTTGCGCCTGCGGGAACGGCTGGGCGATGGGTGCTTTGGCGTAGTGCATCGTGGCGAGTGGAGCCCACCCAGCGGGGGCACCGTGAGTTGCCTGGGAAAAGGGATTGCAAGTCCATCCGGGGCCTCACAGGGTGGAGGATGCAGTTGGACCCGACCTGCCTTTCAGACATCGCCAGCCAGGCTGCAAAATCTTCAAGGAATGGCCAGGAACCCGCACAGGATTTGGGCACCGTTGGATGGGGAGGTTGCAGGGGGAATTGGGTGGAATCTGCTCTGAAGGGGGTGAGTTCTAGGGGAGGCATCATGAAAAATCATGAGCTCTAGCTGGAAGAGTTGACCTATGATTAGGGGGCTGGAGCGCATGACCTAAGACGAGGGATTTGGGTCTGTTTAGTCTGCAGAAGAGAAGAGCGAGGGGGGATTTGATAGCAGCCTTCAATTCCTGAAGGGAGGTTCCAAAGAGGCTGGAGAAAGGCTGTTCACAGTAGTGAGGGATGGCAGAACAAGGAGCAATGGTCTCAAGTTACAGTGAGGGAGGTCTGCATTGGATATTAGGAAAAACTATTTCTCTGGGAGGGTGGTGAAGCGCTGGGATGGGTTCTCTAGGGAGGGGGTGGAATCTCCATCCCGAGAGATTTTTAACTGTCATCTTGACAAAGCCCTGGCTGGGTTGATTGAGTTGAGATTGGTCCTGCCTTGGCAGGGGGCTGGACTTGATGACCTCCTGAGGTCTCTTCCAGCCAGGGCCGGACGGAGGCATGGGCAAGCCAGGCAGCTGCCCAGGGCGCCAACTCATGGGGGGGGCGCCTGATGGCAACTGTAAGGGGCGCACAGTGTCCCTTACAGCTGCCATCAGGTGCTGCGCACCCGGCTCCCGGTGGGCTGCAGTGGCCACCCGGGGAGGGGGCTGCGTTAACCCCCTCCGTGGCTTTTCCTCCCC